GGGGGGCGGCCCACGCTGCGCCTGGGCTGGGACTGGTCCCGCCGGCGCAGGTTAGCAGGAAGCTCTCCACACACTCACCGGACCTGGGCTAGGACTGCTAAGATCTATTTTAAATGCTATCATACCTAGTCTCTTAATTTTACACTTCCTAAAATTATATCATCTTTCACATGATCCCGTCATTTATTCACAGATATAAAGCCAGCAAATGTGTTCATTACAGCCACTGGGGTGGTAAAGCTTGGAGATCTTGGGCTTGGTCGGTTTTTTAGCTCCAAAACCACAGCTGCACATTCTTTAGGTAAGTGATGCTATATAATGTTATTCTCTTTATTATTTTTTTTTTGGGGGGGTGTCATAGTTAAAAAGAAATGAGATATAATATAATATACCAGCTCTTATTCTTATGCCTACTGCCCAGGTGCTAAGCAGGTACCCACAACTCTGTAGCTCTGTATTAGGTAGAATGTTTTCTTTTACTCGACAGTTGGATACTTCTGTTAACTTGACTTCAGGCAGGCACTGAATGAAAAAGAAATACTGGTTTTCATTGTCATACGCATTCTTTTATTTCACATTATAGTGGTAAGGTGGTAGGTGGTATGAATAAACTATTCTGGAAGAAGTCTTTAGCTGACCACTTAATACTAGGTATAATTATTTGTAAATGTTTACTTAGTAAATTAACAAATGAATGTCATTACTGTAGAGGAGAAAAACCTAAACATGATTTTTTTTTTTGGGGGGGGGTGGGCAGAACCGGGGATTGAACTCAGGCCCTTGTGCTTGCCAGGGAAGTGATTATTCCACTGAGCCATCTCCCCGGCCCCCTAAACATGATTTTTGACACAAGAAAAATGTTCCTTTAGATTGTAAAGTAGAAGAAATACCTGCCATTACTTCATGAGTGCACAATATAACATTGTCTTTTATTTATCATATTAATGATGGAAAAGAAAAATTTCCAGTTTAGAAACAATAGAAATTGTTAGGAAAAAATAATTTTTAATTGAGTAGCATAAGGGATTGACAGGACATCTCTTAAAATTCTTTAGATCATCAGAGCATCTCTTAAAATTCATTGACGATCATCTTTTCTTATAAATCCAATACACATGAAACAGTGACAACCAGAATAATGTAAGAATTAGGCCAAATAATGCAGTTTTATTGCAACTAACTTTAGTGTCAAAAATTCACTTAAGGTTAACTGCACTTTTTAAAAATTTGTCTTTAAGTATTAAATAAAGAACTTTTAAATGGCCTGCTGAGGAAAAATGAGTTACACTGAAAAAGAAAAAAAATATATATCAGCATCCTGAATTGCTTGAATACATTTTTTAGTTTTTCTTTGTTTGTTACTAAGTTTCAGTGTGACTGTGAACCTTTTAGTTTTTCTATATCTAAAACAGTATTTGGCACAAAAATAGGCATCCAGAGAATAGTCACTGAATGTCAAATATTGTATCTTTGTGTAAAGCATGGTGGAAAGATAACACTTATTCTTTTTCACAGAATTTTAATTTTGTCAATTAATTAGAGAAAATAAAATTTCACAGTGATGTGAACTATTTTCCCTTCCACTTTACATTTTTTATAGAGCTTTACTGCTTTTCCTGAATTGAAGAATTTGATACAGATTCCATAAACAGTGAATAAATTTGGTAACACTAGTGCTTCCAATACAAACTAGTGGAGAATTTTTGTGTAAAAAAAAAAAAAAAAAATCCTTAAGATATTTCAAGCCAGGGCTACTTACTAGCGAAGATAAGATTTTCACTTTGTTATTCTCCTGATGGAATGTAGTAACAAGATTCTGTCATTAATTTACTTAGAAATACAAGGTTGTAATTACACATACACACATGGTACACATACCTGGTATACAGTGTGTTGTTAAAATGCTGTTTTTCAGACTGTCACTCTGAACATGCTGATGTCATATAGTTGGAAGGATGCAGCATATTAGTGTGAAATCCAGATCATAACTATTCTGGAAACGAACTTTGTGTGTGTGCCTGATACAACCTGTCACAAAAATTCTAAACAGGGCTTAAAAGCTAATGCATCTTAAAAGTAATATGGTAGTCCAAACTATGTGATACAGAAATAAAGTTAATTTTAGTAAGTTTAAGAATATCTGATACCAAGTTTTATCAAAATCATTTCACTTAAGATACTGTCATTATGTATGTAATACATGTTGCTATCATAATTTCTGTACATTTGAAGATATATCTAAAGTAGAGCCACTGACGAAATAGAAATGCGGCTGTTTTAATGAATGAATCATCAGCAAAATAATTTCTTTTACTAGTTTGTAATCTTTCATTCCTGCTTATCTTCTCTACAAGGGGAAGGTTTTGGTAGTTTGAAATTAAAGTTTAAGCAAAGTACACTGAACACCAACAAAGTTTGAATCCTAGCTTAGTATGGTTCTTTGGATACAGTAAAGTGAAAATCCCAAGGATCAAAAAAAACCATTTGCTACCAATAAATATGTATGACAGCAAAGCATGAAATCCTAACATTTATTTTTGCTGGTTCTAATACTCACTTTTAGAGAATTATTACCCTCTTATTTTTCATATTTTTAAAAGCAGACTTAAGTTTGCTTTTTAAGAGCTGATACTGAAATGTAATGGAAAATATGGCTATCTATACAAATTTATTTTGCTCACAGAAAATAGGAGGACTGTTTATTTTATATTGATTTATTTTCTGATTTTACTGAGGATAAAATCTATAGAGAATAATTTAATGTAAAACAATGTCTAAATTTTAATGAAAGTAAAATAAATATGAATGTAGTTCTTTAAAAAGTCTTAGGAACTTTTACTTTAAAGTATGCTATGGAATTGCTTTAATGCATCTATTTTGAGGAATTTAAAAAATGCAAAGATACAGTGTTTTATAAACATTTTTATAGTTACGTATTTTGGTTTTTATGAAATATACTTTCCAAATTCAAAGATACTATTTTAATTTATTTATCATTAAGAGATTGGCAAGTCTGTATTTTTAGCTATTTTGCATTTCATTTTCAATCAGTTGATTTTCTAATAACAAATTAACATTTAATAGAATCTATAGTTCTTCTACCCTATCCTCAACAGCAATTAAAATTTTATAGATAGCCACAGATATCCTGTCTACTACCACCACATACATTCTCTCAGACCCTCTCGACTTTCCATTCTTAATCCATAATTATTTCAAAATAATAGACAAGGAAATACCTTCCTTTGCTTCTAATACATTTCTTTAATCCATGCTAATATTATTTTGCATAGTTATCTTCCTCCATGACAACTGATCATTATTTTTTTCCAAATCTTTGATGGTTCTCTATTGCCTGAAGCATATGAACAATCCTTTATAATATTCAGGGCATTGTACAATTCACTGTCCTCTTTACTGTTATTGTTGACTTTATTTTCCACATCATACAGCAGTCTACTTTTCCTTTTACTTTATTTTGAACATGAGAAATAGAATGATAAAAGTGTGACTAATAGCCACCTTGTGTCACCCTTACCCCTAATTCCTAATGAAATATGAATGTAAAATGTTTTCTGAGCACTTGATACACTATATATTTAAGTTCTTTTCAGATAGTAGTGACAGTGACGAAAATATAAAAAAGCAGGAGGGGTAATTCTTTTATCCAAATTGATTTATTCAAATAATAGTTTTAGTGCCTGTGTTATGCATATGCTATGGTAGAGACCAAGAAGTTAGCCTCAGCAAGATATGTGTCTTTAGGAGAGCTTATCTTATGGTTGGAGAAAATTGATGGTAAGAAAGCAAATAAAGAAAGGTAATTTTTTAGTGGTGTGCAAAAGAAGGATTAGTAGGGAAACCACTTTAGAAAGGGGCAGATATCTCTGAGCAGGTGATGTTTGAATTAAAATTCAAGGGATGCAAAAGAGGTAGTTGTAAATGAACCCATGAAGTAACCTTTTAGGCTGACTGAAGGACATTTCTCATATGGGACAGATGAAGGATAATACTTGCCTACAGTAGATATGCTGGAGCAGATGAAAATGGGGCATGATCACCAGGTTCAGGAGGAACTCAGTTGGATTCCTAGTGCCATTTTTAAGGGAGACTTTAGCAAAGTTGTGATGAAGAGCCATGTGAACTGAGTTGAAGACAACAGCCAAAATGGTTCCTTATTGGTTTTAGGTTAGGCATGGCTGGCATTTATACTGTGACAGGTCCTTCTGTTTCCCCAATGTCTTCATCTTTCCCTATTAGAGTGTCGTAGTATGTGCAACCTGAAGCTAGGTAAATACTCCTTTTGGAGTTCACCAGCACACGTGACAGTTTTACTGCTGTAATCTCTGATAGAGACACTTGTGAATTTTTTTTGTCCTCACGCTTCTCCTTTTGTTTCATACATGAATTTATGTTAAGGTTTTCATTTAATGCTTTCATATGACTTGGATGGAGATGTGGGTAGAGAGGTTAATTACAGGATGTTGCACATATCTCTGTGACTGTTGCTTTTTTTCATATTGTCAGCCTTATAGATGTAATTTAGAAATTTGTTATCTGGTAAGATTAAGAGGACAAAGCTCTCTTCTGAATCCAGCTTTGTGAATCGATATCAGTAGCTCCCTTCCTCCCTCCCTCCCTCCCTCCCTCCCTCCGTCCTTTTCTTCTTTCTTATTATTTTTTGTTTGTTTTTTCTTTCAGGTTTCTTGAGGGTAGTCCCCAGTAATATTGTGATGCCATGGGAACATTAGCATATGTATTTAACTGACGTAAATTTCATGTAACAGTGTTTTCTGTTACAAATGCAGTCTATTCTGGTATTATCAATTCTATTTTATTTCATAAAACATAATGCTAGCTGCAGCCCACTAATGATTTCATTAATGCATTGTTACTACCTCCAACTTGGAAAGCATTGATTGAGCTTTTATGCTGTTTCACTTACTAGCTGATTCCTATTTTTCTCTCTCCTTTTGGATGTTCTCATGACATGCTTTCTGGTCCTTTCAGTTGGTCAGACATAAGTTAGCCATTTACAGTATTCGCTATGCTTCTGCAGGAGGGAATAACATGCATGGTGGGTCTTCATGGTTTGCAAATCACTCAGCTCCCTGAGATCCTGACAAAGTATGCCGAGTGTGCAGATGAGTTGTTCCTGTTCTAGAGTGGAGACACTGAAGCACAGAGGTAAATGGGCTCTGCAACAGAAGTGACTCCTCTAAACCGAAAACTAAAAGTTCATCAAAGTCCATGAAATTGGAATGCAGCAATAAAATATTTTTTCTCATACTACTACAGTAG